TATAATCATTTGCCAGATTTTTGTTGTTTTTGCAAAGCGGTTTAGATAATTCTAAGAAAGCACAAAAGAAGGTGAATATGTCAATGCAACTAGGCTATCTGCCAAGACCACACCCCATTTTAATTATTTTGTTGGCCCCCTCCCCCACCCTCCCTCTCCCTCTATCCTCATTTTTTTTCTTGCTTTTTCTTTCCTCCTATTTCCTCTATTCATATCCTTACGTCACTCATTATTTCTTTCCCCCTCTCTCTCTCTCTTTCTACCTCCTTTTAGTTATTTATTTGTCTTTCTTGTTATCTCCTTACTTCATATCGTTCTGTTACCCCTTTTTTAATATTTCTTCCTCTTTCTCTCTTTCTCTTCTCTCTCTCTTTCTCTCTTTCTCTCTTTCTCTCTCTCTCTTCCTCCCTCATTTAGCTATCTTTTTGAGGTTTGCGGTTTGGTGTTATTATCCGTATATAAAAACATATATACATACATAATATTTATAAACATTATTTTTTTTTAAAGATAATTACTGTGAAATAATACGGATAGATTGCTCTATTCAGAGCCATTACTTTAAGGCTCTGTTCTTCCACAAGAAAGAAAAGCACACAAAAAGAAAGAGAGAAGTAAAGAATCTCTGTGTCTTTCCTGTTATCTGCTTCTCTCTTCATATCGTTATGTTACCCATTCTCTCCCTCCCTCCCTCTCACCCACTCACTCCCTTCACACCACTCTGGCGCTTCACTTATAGTCTTAAATTGACTGCCAGGGGTCAGGATGAGGCTAGGTGTTATTAACTGTTGGGTCGTTTACCTCACAAGACGACCATCGCTTCCATCCGCCATTTTTAAAGACCATTCTTAATAAAGTGGCGCCAAAATATGTCGTCTGCCATAGCGCTGTGACTCGGGCGCGCGCGCAGTGTGCATGCAGAGAGCGCAACTGCAAGTAACGAACATGAGAAAATGGCCAGGGCCGGGCGTTTTGCAGCCGGCGCCGCGACCGTATGCTGCAGTGCGACGCCATCCTGCAAATGGGATTACCATACTAAAAGCCAGATTCGCATATTAATAATGGAAATGCTATGCTAAACAAGGGAAAGATACGTTTGGGGAAAATGTGGATCCATTTGATAGAGAAGGCGCCCTGCTGCTCGCTTTTTAATGACGTTGATAGATTACTCGTTATTGTTTTGCGGACGACAAATCAGAGATTAGCCATACAGCTTATATTACCCAGATATTAATACATTCATGGCATTACACGACGGAGTTCAAAAGGGTTTGTACTGGCGTGTAAGGCGTGGTTAGGCCTAGTCATAATCAATTTGGAAAACGAACAATTTTTTTCAAAAAATCACTCTGTCATAAAGAAGACCGAGATAATGTTGTATTTAACAAATATATATGTTTGCATTAAATAATTATTTCCTTTTTGCCTTATCATTTATATTGGAAAGAAGGTTCTCGAGGTCTGATAATAAGTGAAATAGATAATCAAAATTATTGTTTCATGGATATATGATTTTGTAATATTCATTTATAAACTACGAGGGGGTGACATCACAAAGCTATAATTTACTATTTCATAAACTAAATTGATATAACTACAACTTTTCAAGGGTATACGTTATGTCTTCAATATGAAGCATTTTATAAATTAATCTTATGCTTTGAGGAAGACTTTTCAAAGCACTCATCAATTATTTGTTTTCATAAGATATTAAAAGGAGAGATGTAGTGAAAGGATTTTAAATTCAAAGGCAATCGAATATATATATGATGACAAATGTACATCATGTAGAAGTTATCATGCCAGTAACGCGTGGTGGCGCTCTATCAATACGAAGTCAACGTCATTCGTAAAATTCATATAATTTTTGGTGTGTGTGATCATACAGTAGATCCCTAAGACTATTTCTCAGTTGTTTCATTATCCTTCATGCGTGCTCTAGCAACGTTTATAAGGTAATATCCCGATTACCATTGCCACAAGAAAGATTTGTGTTCCATGTTATGAACGAGGAATGGAAGAACGAACATACAAAGAAAAATGCAATATTCAATGTTTTACCCCGAAAATCTTAAATCAATCAAATAGCATTCTCTCTCTCTGTCTCTCTCTCTCTCTCTTTCTCTCTCTCTCTCTCTCTCTCTCTCTCTCTCTCTCTCTTCTCTTCTCTTCTCTTCTAAATGTCCCCTCTTCCTCCTTCCCCTTTTTACTCTGAGTTGATATTTGGGTCTCTGTAGGAACCATCAATATTATTAATTGGTGATGATGATGATGATGATGATATAGGATTTCCCGGCCAAATTCGCGAGTTTGTCATTCAAATTAATTTGTCTTGCGTTCAAATTCGACGGTTTTAGTGCAGTCAGGTATATCTCGGGTTTATATTCCCTTTTCTAGTTTTCAAATCTATGGAATTTTCGTTAGAATCTACGTATGTTTCATTCAAATTAACGAACATTGTGCTTCTTTCGCTATTTGGTCATTCGATTTGGCGCAACACGATTTTCTGACAACGCGACGGTGTACTGCTAGCATTCTAATTCATTTGTAGCATTCAAATTAGCACTTTGTGCACTTAAATTGATGGTCATTATACATTTCTCGTTTATTACACACTTTTTATAGCTCATTCCTTTTCTTTAAAGATTGTTTTTTCATGTGTATTTCATCATATTTCATTTTCTTGCATTTATACACTTATACTTATTAGATTTATCTGATATTCATCAGCATTTAAGTTTGATTGTTAAAAAGAAAAATACGACTTGAATCTACGGACCTGATGGTCTCAGTATATTTGTAAATGTTCATGTAAGGAAGTTGTTTGTCTTATGTTTCATCATAAATTTATCATAATTTCATCATAATTTCATTATGGAAGAAGGGTACAATATTGTGACTGGGGTAGGGACTAGAGTCAACAATTTGAACACGATTTATTATTTAGCCATGTCTTTAGCCATCGATCTGCTGGCGGGCAAGTAAACTATGAAACTCTTTAAGAAAAACAGAGGGGTGTGCTGGGTATAAGAGACGATGTGAATTACTTTTGTAAAATTCCGAGTCTGTAGTAAAAAGGGGCGATTGAGGGTACCCCCACCTTTCCCGGGTATATGAACCTGTCCGTGCAGAAATGCCATATCCCTTGATTTCGCCCCTTCTTTACTTTATGTCTGACTACACCCATCTGCATTGTCCTGAAGAAAAAAAATGGAATAATAGCTTAGACCCCAATGGCAAATCATGCATTTTAACTGCATTATTTAAAAACTGTAAAAGTTTGTTGCAATTCTTCCCCCTAACATTCCTAACTTGAATACAAATATTACGAATACGAATGACAGGTGTTAATTTGAATTATAAATTTTACGCTTCGACAAGTGAATATTAATTTGAATGCTAGTTGAGCAGTTTCTAAATTGAATGACAGATCTATGAAACCCTTCGACCAAAATTCTAAATTAAATACAAAAACTGGAAAATTGAATGATAATTGGTATGGCAAAGCCGATCTGCGCTAACTTAAATGCAAAGTAAATGAATTCGAATGACAAACACGCGAATTTGGCCCGGCAATCCTATAGTAAAACTAGTTATAATACAATGATGACAATAATTATAATAATAATAATGCTAATAATGATAAATAATAATGATACAAATAATAATAATATTAACAATAATAAAAATAATAATAATAATGACAATGATGAATTCTGTTTTATAGTAATTACCAAATAAACAAACATAAGGGAAAGAACTTCTATTAAACCTCTTATTTCCACCCCCTCCCCCATTCCATTTTCAATACGTAAACGCCATGAACTCCAATATATAGTGCTTTGCTGCTCACCAGTCACCAGTTAGCTCTCTCTTTCTATATGAACTCAAGGGATTAAATAGATACATGTACGTTCTCAGAAAGTCAACCGTTACGGCACACTAGTTCAATCGCTTGTGAGTCTTTGGAATAAGCTTCTGTTTTTGTTTGCAAGATGCGTCACAGCATTGTAAACTTCAAAAATTGATAACCCTCTTATTTGTCATCGGAATTTATTCAAACTTAACTGATAGGCTTCTCTCAGTTTTCTGCTCTTACTAAAAACCTATGTAGTATCATTCATTCATTACATAATGTATCATGACCCAACTTTAATTACGAGCATAAACTTTTCTTTTTTCCCTAATTTTTTTTTTTTTTTTTTACTATTTGTGTTTTTTCTGTTTTTACCATTTGTATAAAACTGTTATTTTGTTTTTAACTATTCTTTTTGTCAGTTCTTGAATTTGTATTTTCCTTATTTATGCAGGACCATTATGTAAAACAGCATTCGAGCTGATCAATGTTATCCTGTTAAAAGATGTTTCAATAAATAAATAAATAAATAAATAAACCTTTTACGTAGCGACTAAACATTATATTACATACAGATTATACAAAGTCGGTTGGCCGTCAGAATTGAGATGCCAGAATTACAAACATTGACATGAAGGTTAACGTAATCATTGCGACGTTTCCTCAATACTATCAGTATTAGGTCTAAAAGGCCCATTATGTGAAGGCTATTGATTTGTGAATCCTATAACTAGGGGTCAGTATAAATGGGATTGACTTTTGCGATTCCTCAAGAGAGAGAGAGAGAGAGAGAGAGAGAGAGAGAGGGTGGGAAAGAGGGAGAAAACTCAGAATCAGATCGGACATGTTTGCTTTCTAACATTGCAGTTTATATTTAATTGGGCCAGACCGCCAGAAAAGTAATCCTCGGCTTTGAGAAGCCTCCATTTCATTTCACCCCTAGCTGTGTAAACCCACTTCATTGTTCCCCGGTTCGCGTCAATGAAAAATCCCAGCCCGCCTGGCGCTGTGAATATTGATCGAATATCGGAATAGCCACGCGCCGCTTATCCACACGCTGAATTCCAGTTCGGCGGTCATGCACGCGTGAGTAACGTTTAATCGTCACTGTCTTACCCGTGCTAAAATGACCTGGTTATCGGTGTGTAGTTCAAAGCGGATTCGTCCGCACGTACACGACGACTTGCACGGTGTTCATTAACCGCTCCGCATATACAGGTTCAACTGGTACACGACGGACCAGGCAGCAATTAACACACGAAGAATTGTACGTCCTTGGGGCCTGCATGAGCAACTTGAAGAGAAAGAAAAGCCACAGTTTTCGCCCACATTTCCAAAGTTCATGGCTGCCTATATACGTCACTGCGAATTGACAGCATTCTTCTGTATCTCCTTGGACTTTCGACGCAGAGACAAATAGTATTGACTGCCAGCAAGCGTATCCATTTCAAACTCCAGCCGCTCAGCGTTTGTTCGGAGCTAAGAGCCGCCCGTTTCATTCATCGATTGTGCTCGCGAAATCGTCACTCATTTGCTGACGTTTTGGCCTCTGAAAATAACATCTGAATTCGACTATCAAATTGATCGAGTGCAGGGTTAGCTGATCATTTGTGGAACTATAAAATAGAGCGAGAAAAGTTGCGACCAGGCATTGGCAATCAGGATTTTAATACTGATCAACTGTCTCTCAAGATATTCTTCTAAGGTGAGAAAATAATAAACATTTCTTTTTTCTTTATATTCCATTCGTTTCTTATAATATGAGGAATGTGCGTTGGCGGGGACTGTTTTGCTCAAATGCATACAAACCCGCCTGCAGAGGTTTTGTTAGGGGATTAGTACATATTTAGTTATGAGCTTCACTGATCAAGAGTGACACACAACACTGTACTGGTATCCTACACACTCGGTTCAGGTTTGTTAACCCTGCAGTATATAGGCCAACCCACTGGTAGACGCCACGAAAAAGGCGAATACAAATATTCTCTCAGTCTCACCAAAAACATCTTTTAAATCTATAAAGATTAATGTTATGTTCTTATTATTTGCAAGAAGCAGTGTCCACCCCTACTTGTGATGTTTTATCCACGAAGAACTATTCGGAACGTAAAACTCATTTGTTGACTTAGCCTTTAGTCTTTAAAGATACATGTATATGCTTTGTATTATAATGTTTCTTTATATTGGTAGGCTATAATAGTTGTCGGGATATACAGGTGTATAATTTTGTATATATATATATATATATTATAGGGAGACAATTCTTAAAAAATTGAATTCTTTTCCTAAACGGATATGCCCTGCATCAGCTAGTATCTTCAGGATTAAAGAAAGTAGAAGAGAAGAATGTGATAGATGAGAAGGAAGAGGAGAAGAAGAAGAAGAAGAAGAAGAAGAAGAAAGAACGCTTCAACATAGATCCTCCCGTATATTTTCTAAACAAGAACGAATGAGGCTCCATATTCTTTTATATTCATGCGTTTCATATTTTCATATTTTCTCGAGGTTTATTATTTGTTATGCCGGACCACTAATTTATAAAGATTATAATTATATACGTGCATGTTTATGTACGCAACGCATTGCATCATGCAAAGAATTTATACTTCAGAATACCTGTGTGCGCATAGGCCTAGTATACCTGCACCATCCTCATTTTCATTGATAAAAAAATTACCACTACCAGTACACCACACCACCACCGCTCATGAAAAGAGTTTTTGGTGTAGTAAATCTTGGGCGTAGTGTGATTCCTGGATGCTTCAACTTCAAGTGCATCAATTCATCGTTCGTGGTAGTATGTTATGCTGTCGCTTTTCATCAGTACCAGACGCAGATGTATTGTATCTGTGTGTGCGCGTGTGTGTGTGTGTGTGTGTTTGTAAATGTACATGTATGTAACAGATACACAATTAATTACACACTATAATATGCATGTGCGTGTGTATGTGTGTGTGTAATTGTGTTAATTATACACAGGTACTGTTCTTGCAGGGAGAGAGAGCGAGAGAAAGAGATGAAGATGGACAGATAAGTGGAGATATACTGAGAAAGAGAGAGAAAGAGAGAAAGAGAGAGAAAGAGAGAAAGAGAGGTAACGTTAAAGAAGGAGAAGAGAGAGAGAGAGAGAGAGAGAGCATCAAGAGAGAGATTATATACAGCAATGATTTTGATTAAATCATTCTGTTTAAAATAATTTGATAAATATTCCCATACATCGAGAGCTATAGGGAGAACTCACCCGCGCGAAATCGCGAAAATAGCATTAAAAGATATAAAAACATGCATTAATTTACTTCTTTATGTAAATTAATAACTACTTTTGTTTGTCTTTAACAAAACTTACAATGTACACGTACACAGGATGTAGGCTATTGTGATTATAGGTCGCTATTCGAATATGGTTTTGCCAGCGTTTCCCTGCACTTTCAACAGGTTCATTGTGGTTTCCGCAATCGCATACGGGGTTTTCATTATGCTTTGAATCGTATCGGGGATTTTTCGGCTGGTAGTACTTTTGGAAGTATAGACTTACTAGAGACAAACATGCTTTAACGACTTTACCTTTGTCCCAGTTATTGCGGTATTGGTTGGACGGTCGAAAGTACTGTATCCCATTTGCAGCTAGGACAAATATCTGAAAACATAATATGACTACGATTAAAGGTAAAGACCAGTATTGGAAACGCCCCAATTTCAAAAAATGAAATGGAAGCTCTCATTACCAATCATGTGAAAGAATACGTTTTGACTAATACATGATGATAAAAAAATTGCCGGGAAACCGCCTACTAATTCATATATTTGGTAAATTTGTTTCTCTCATGGTCTGGGAGAGGTATAGGGTAGTCCCATTTACATCTTTTTGTGTATAGTGCTTGTAACTTTACGAAGAATGGGCCAAATTTCTTATCATTTTGATGATTCCAGAACCTTGCAGATGCTAGATGCTAGATGATCAACCTTTTCTGATCGATTCCACAACGTTTCTTTCAAAATGCAATCGTATGACCATAACTGGTCTTTACCTTTAAAGGTAAAGGAGGATGCCGTTTAATGCACCCCCCCCCCACCCCCACCGTGATCACAGGAAATAAAAACTGAATTTTCGTGGAATAATAAGCGGTTGGATTTTAAATTGAGTTTCAGGCGTGCCGTCAAATTGTATTGGGTGCCAAAATGTAACAGTAATAGCAACAGTAAAATCTGTTACAATTTACTGTAATGATTGGTCGTTTTTTTTTTAACATCCACAACCGAGAAAATCGGTATATGTACACATAATGCAAAATGGAAATCCTGTTGAAGGAACCAATCATTTTCCTGATTTAATATACCGGTACCGGAGAACATGTTCTATTACGATGTATGGCAATACCATCATAGGGATATATTGTACAACTATAGTAACTACATGTATTGTATACATTATGTATAATGTATAATAAAGTTTACGTGTGTTATTTTACAATAGAGTACAGATTCCGTACAACCAATGTAATGACAAACAAAATGAACTAGACATAGAGTTTTTTTCAATAATTTTAAAAGGTCAATTATGTCGAAATATTCGCATTGGTATTATATGAATCATATACAAAATGAATGGCGCCAGCTTTTTATTCATTGTGATATTCACAATCATTGTGTGTGTATAGGGCCGCTGGTGTATATTAGTGTATATGCTACATGACTTTTGTAAATACCTCTCCCAAAACTGCTTCTGAAAGCCGCTTTGCTGTCATATTTGCTCGTTGCATTTTTCAAATTTTACAATCGTTAATCGCCATTAACCCAAATATGTCCCATTACAACAACAAAAATATATGAATACTGCACTAATTTTACTTTAGATCAGCAGTTCATTGCTTCCATCATTATGAACGTGGCCAATATGCGAATTCATAGCGAAAAGACATAATCCAGTTAGGAAAGATTCTATTTAAAAATACAAGGCATTCGGATATTTTAAGTAAAATGAATCGACTCAGCAAAATCAAAGGTTAGTCTCATCGTCACAACTGTCCAAGTTCCATCATTTTAAATTTCTGTCGAACAGTTGATTACGTTATAAAACATTAAGCTTTTTTTCTTCTTATATTACCAGTACATTTATTTTGCGACCTGCTTAACTACTAAGATATGAGTATACAGTCATAAAGTTATATATATACCTCTTAAAATTGAGGGCACTCGGTAAGTTCTCTTGTAAATGTTTGTATTGCTTTATTGTCCGGTTTATTGACATTTGATAAAGGACTCTTTCAGTTTGTAATTGCCCTGTATGTATTAGATTACGAATATAATGTCTTGGTTAAACTAATGTTTTATTTAAAATGTTTCCTTAGTCTCAAATTGTCGTTTTGTATTCATAGACATTACTGGTCTTCAGCTCTAGCTTTCTTTCATTGTGTAAGTAATCAACACAAATGATAATCAATCAAACATTAGGTCTGGTGCAGATGAATGCGTTAGTATCAACGCAACTGAATCATGGATAATGTTTATCATCCATTTATATACATTTTAGTTTGGTAATGAAAATAATAGATATTATATATATTCATATATATTATTTTCGTTACCAAACTAAACTTTATATTTGTATTGAAAATTGGCCATCACTCAACACATATATTTCCACATAATTCAATACATCATCTACATATTTTACTGAATCTAGTTACGTTTGAATTAGAGTCGAACTGGCGCTTTTCTGATGTCCCCCAACATGCACTTTATTGTAAAATAATTTCATTTTTAATTGGATGCTTTACAATTTGCAATTGCTGAATTAATGCGCTACCTTTGATAACCTTGGTCTGCGGTGGCTCCATTCCATGATTCAATTAACCAGAAACCAGCGCGTTGGAGCCCTCATTTTAAAACGAATGCCGCGCTTCACAAATACGAAATGACGCCATTCCGATGCTGAAAGTAGAAGATCAATTTTCGTAATGTCATTGACTATGGTATCCCCAAGCAAACAAGGCTGAAATAAGGTAAAGAAAATACTGAAGCACCGGCATTATGAGGTTAACGTAATACTAAACAAATTTGGTGCAAATAATGGATATTAAAAACCGGCTGTACTTTTTTTTGTTGCTTTTGAAGCAGCCGTCTCCGATTCGGCGACAACTGATAAAAATCATATCGATACGATAATTTGCGCTGATCCCAATATCGGTACTTCTTATAGAGTAGTCTAGGAAATTGGACCATTGTTTCAGATAAAAAGATTGAACGTGTGAGTTTGTAGGCATTTTAATGGATATTCGAAATTCAGTACTAGATTAATAACAGGTGATATCACTTTTGTGAAAAGATACCATTACGTATGTCAGAGTTAGGTTTCAGAGTATAATTGTACAACGCCTTCTTCTTACATGATAATTGATATTATATCCACTGAATTATTCAATGAATAATAAATTTGAGAAATGCAATCATTATCAGACTGGTTAATAATCAAAGTTTGAAGTAATATTATTCTGACTAAAAGTTATCCATGTTAATGCGAGTATCCAAAAATAGGTGAACATTATGAATAATATTAAAATAGGTTCATACAAGAAAAAAATCAATGTTTTGGCCTTTTTGACCATTTTGTGAGTGTCAAGAGCTAGAAAAACACTGATGGATGTATAAGTACAATCAACAACTCAAATCTAGGCAATGCCGTCGCTTTTTATTTGTTAATCCGAA